GTACTTCACTAGTTTGTTGACGTGTGACTGATGTTAATTATCTAGTTAAGAAAGGAGTAAGTAATGCTTTATGTACTTCACTAGTCTGTTGATGACGTGTGACTGATGTTAATTATCTAGTTAAGAAAGGAGTAAGTAATGAATTTACGTACTTCACTAGTCTGTTGATGATGTGTGACTGATGTTAATTATCTAGTTAAGAAAGGAGTAAGTAATGCTTTATGTACTTCACTAGTCTGTTGATGACGTGTGACTGATGTTAATTATCTAGTTAAGAAAGGAGTAAGTAATGCTTTACGTACTTCACTGGTCTGTTAATGATGTGTGACTGATGTTAATTATCTAGTTAAGAAAGGAATAAATAATGCTTTATGTACTTCACTAGTTTGTTGATGATGTGTGTAATAGTGTACAAAACTTCAGTGTTTTTATAAATTCTGTAATATGTATTAGAAAGGGAATACACAGCAATAGAGAACATAAGGTGGACCTCCGAAAAACTGTCAGGGCAAAAGTAGAAAGTAATGATGGAACATGTTTACCTGTGTGGTAGAGTGCTTGTTTGTGCTAGAGGAAAGTATAATCAGAACAGGTAGTGTTTACGACAAAACATCTAATATGCCAGTTTAACTTGCAGCCAGTAATTTTCCGAGTAATAGCAAATGAATACTGAAAGTTATAATGCTGTACAAGTCTTAAATTCTACAGTTTGAATAGAGATAGAAAGAGAATGTTAAAGCCAGTTGAATCGTCATTTATGACTTGGATAAAGGCATATCCTTTGATGTCTTAGAATAACTTAATAAGGAAAGTGTAATTAGATCCATTTTGTTTGATCACAACAATCGTAGGTGCCATTTTTAAAAGCAGCACGGGGAAATGATGGAGCTCGTACCATCTTTTTTTTTTTCTTCTAGATGCCATTTCGAGAAGCTCACAGCATGGCTGGAAAGGTTGTAGTACTCTCTGAAGAAAAACACTGCACTCTTCAAGACTTAAGTCTTGATGACCTTCGAGGAATTTCGTGAGTACAAAAGATATCCTGTTTATTCAGTAATGACATCGGTAACCGTCTTTGTACTTTACGGTGTTGATTATGAGAATTTAAGAGTTCTTCCACTTAAGATGAAAATTACCTTTTTCTACTCTTCCACAAATCTAGATAGTTTTGGAAAATTGTAAAGTTATATTATTGATTTTTAATGTAACAATAACAAAATACCAAACATGAACTTAACTTTTGTTTTATCACATAATACATCTATAACAAAGCTTTGTTGCTATTTTTTTAAATGGATAGTTATAACTTTTAAAAGTTAATTCTAAGCCTCGTTTTATCATATATATATAAATCAGTACAAAAAGCCACTGAGGAAGAATGGTGGTCATCATTTCTGGAATGTAATCTTTACAGTAGGTAGATCTTTGTCTTAACAATACCTCTATGTCTGGTTGTTCTACAGTGAATTGTTCACTCGGGACGTGACCTGCCTGTGGGACTACAACCACAGTGTTGAACAGTACCAAACACAGGGAGGAACCAGCAAATCTAGTGTTGAAGACCAGTTGAAGAAATTAAGAATATGGTTGGAATAAGTTAAGTACAAACATTGTTAAAGTAGTAGTTCTCATTTCCTGGTAACCACCAGTCAGAACTAGATTATCTCCATTTCATAATTAGTTTTAAATGGAACAACTAGGCCTAATATTTCTCACAACAACTAGGCCTATTTTCTTCCACTGGAAATTACAATATAAATTTCTACTGAGTTTATACAGTTTCAACAGCAGTGTTACTAACTATATGATAAAGAAAGACCTGTGTGAAACTTTAAGTTATATAATATACATATTGGATTAACTGTTCTTTATTTGTTTCTTAACAATGTTTTTGTATAATAGTTAGCATTATTATGTGATATGTTGAAATGTAATTCAAACTTTCTTACCGTATATTATAGTACTGAATAAAACTATCACTAGCAGTCATTTTATTAATTGAGTTTTCTCTGGGGGGAGGGGACATGTTTTGCCAAGATTAGTGTGTAATATTTTTCATGATTTAACTTACCTGTGCCAAGCTTTGTTAGGGTGTAAAGAGGAGAATTAGCTATTTCTTTCTGTACTAACAATGATTATTAGTTGACAGTCTTTGCCCACCCCCACCATAAAAAAAAAAAAGGGGGGGGGGACTTTTGAAGTTTCTGGCAACTGGACTGACTTGGCAAGCCTTTTCAAGGGCTTGTTTCCTGGTTCTTTCTTATCCCCAGTTTGAACTGGGTATCTCTATCCTTTGAAAGATTCTGATACCACAAGTCATGCTTCCATCTTGATCTTTAAGTGTGTTGAAAGATACTACAAACAAGGAACTTGGGTGAGTTAGTGAACTGCATTTGTACTCTGATATATAAAAAAAGACCAAGCCTCCACTTCTCTTAAGTGGGTGAGATTGCTCCTCCCTAGCCATTATCATGAATTATTTTATTAGACCAATGTTTAGAACCGACAACCAGAGAAACACTGCTCCAATAACCATTATCATGAATTATTTTATTAGACCAATGTTTAGAATCGACAACCAGAGAAACACTGCTCCAATAAAAATATTTATTGTCTGTCTCACTTTAATGCTTTCTTGCGACCATCAAAGAGAAATATTGCAACATCTGTTGTTTACAAGTTTATTTAACACTCAGTCTGTTACAAGTATCACAAAATCCTTTCATCACCACCTTCTGCTTACACGTCAATACTGTCTAAAACCAATATTCCAACTTGCTTCTGGTGGTGTTTATAGAAAAGTTTTATAGGTAACACAACTATTCTCATTTTCCTGAAATTTGAGTTCATAAAAGTCTAAAGCAGCTCAATGAGTAATTAAAATTATACACAAATAAAATTTTTAGCTGCCTTTTAAAACAGGGAAAGAATGTCTTGTAACTGGTAAAGTGGTCAAAAGATAACATCTGGGTGCTGGCACATAAAAAATAAAACTGGTTAGTTGTAGTACTTGCATGGGCTCATTTCTTGTCCACTGAATACAAATTGCATTTAAAGATGCTTGGGCACGTAATGAAAACAATGAAAGACATTAAAATAATATACAACTACAATAACCTGTAATAACATCTTTCATTAATTAGCAACTGTATTTTTTTTTATGATCACTTCAAGCAGCCAAGTTGTTAGGATTGAACTAAAGTAACCCTAACTGATAAAGGTTATGTTTAATTTCGACACCTGACAGGAGGGGGTTCACTTCACGAGATGGTCAATTCTGTTGAGGACATAAAAGTGATTCTACAGAGGCACAAAGATGCATGATTGAACAAATCAAACTACTGTAAATTAGTCCATAAACAAAATAAATGGAATTGTTAGGCTAATACAGAACTATCACATTAGCATAAATACATCACAAAAAAATAATAATAATACTTAATACAGTACCAAAACATGGAATTTAATAATCTCATAAAACACTATAAACAACTACCGTATTCTTGGTAATATCTACTTTCAAAATCTTATTTCTTTTATTGGGCATATTACAGATTGAATATATCAATTGAAGCACAAACGGTCCACTGCCAGCTTGGTGCTCCTACTAATAAATAGTTTGTTTAAAAGGCTAGGAATTCCCATCCACACCCTTCTATATCAACTTTGTCTTTGCTCCATTCCTCAAGCAGAAGGGATTTTAGTAACAGACAGGAGTAACATTTGAGAGTTGATTTTTATATATATATATACTGACTTTCACCAGCATGTATTATCACAAAGTTCTCTGTATACCTTTGTTTTGTTTTAAATACAAAAACTCGTCTATATATCGTTGTTAAATCACGGAGATGGTTTCCTCAATTCCTAGCAATATTATTTTCAACAAAATAAGATTCTTATCCTAAACTAAAGGGCTTCCTATAAAACTGATCCTGACTTAAAGAACTGCCTCTTGAAGATATGTGATGATCACTTTTAACTTTTAGAAGATAAATGTGGCACCTTATTTGTATTCTCAGTACTACTATAGCCCCCCCCCCCCCATGTTACGAAGGTAAAAGAAACTGTAGTAGGCCTAGGATCAGCTGGAGAGGAGCTGATGGAATTGGGATACACTTGGAAAGAGTGGTCCAAAACCGAGTTTGGAGAAGGTTTGTGGATGACTTAGGAGTGAAGGGGTTTAAGCAAGGAAATATAGGTCCCTTTATTTTTCTACCTCAGATGTAAAATCTGGCACATATTTATGGATTATCTCATTCGCCTGTGAAGATATCTTGGTAAAAAAGCAACAAACAACCTTTGTGTTAACTAGTTTACACCTATCCCAAGATGTTTACTTGGCTAGAGAGTATTAAAGCTATGATAAAAAGTCCTAATTGTGTAAAGATAGGGTGTATTTCATTCTTACATCTTGATCATTGTTAGCAGATAATTTCAAACTTCATTACATCTCTAGCCCCATCATCTATTTGGAGATGTTTGAAGAAGTACCAGCTCTAAACAAAGAAACACATCGATACGTAGGATAAAACTATGTAGTATGTAAATGAGCATCTGAATTTCAATGCTGGTAATTCTTCAAACATCTCCAGAATATGACAGGACTACTGATGACAAGAAATTTGAAATTACACATAGTCGTATCACAGCACCGAACAAGAATGACGAAACCTTAGCCATCAAGAAACTTAAAGTTAAATACTAATTCATCGGTAATTGAATTCTTTCTCGCACTCTGTAGTGTTAACAGAAATTTTAAAAATGATACAAAAATGCATTTATCTTATTTCTGTGTGTATGAATCAAGTTTGTGCACCGTAAAAAAAAAATTGTTTTTTCCATTATTTAAATTTAATGTCTTGTCAGAGTATAAAACAATATATAGTATTTACGGTCCTCAAAGGTTTAAAACTAGGGTACCTTGACAAAACAAATATTATCAACAAATTCAGTAACCTGAAACTCTTTGTACTGACAGTCTAAATCTCTTAAACTTATGACACTAGTGTTGTACAAAATAAGAAATGATGCTAAAAATGTTTTTTTAAACCAAAAGCTAATTACAATGTGATAAACACAAGTATATATATATATATATATATTTTTACATCTGTTAATGAGTTATAGGCTTAAGCCCTATAAATAACACACTTATAGTCATCCAAATATATCAAGAAACCCCCCTTTCCCTCTAAGAGAAACTAGAAATTGTCTGTTACAGCAAGTTTAAAGATAATACAATTAGATTTCAGTCTCAGATTTTCAGTTAGCATAAGGGAATATTCAGCCTTCCTTCTTACACTGACATCTGATGATGGTTGTAACCACAAGACATTTGACCATCTGTCATACTTTATCTTCTTTGTATGGCTTTTCTAACTGCACACGTTGACCTGTCCTTTTTATTTTACTTTCTTCTGAACCTGCTCCAGTTTTAGCTTTGAGAGCTTTTCGAACGGCTTCTCTGTGCTCTGCCAGTTCTCGTTCTCTTTCCTCCCACATCACCTTGTTGTCTTCTATGACTTTACTGTTTCGTATTACAAAGCTATCGGGCTTACCATAATCGGGGGGGTTGAGATTGGGGTCATAGCCCAAGAACGACAGCATGGGTGCAATGTTAGCCATATCTTGAACGACGTCCGCAGGGATTTGCCCTACCCATTTGCTTAAGGCTTGCAAGTTGATAGGTTTGATCACTTGATCTGTTGAACGTTCTAGCCTAAAATACCATTAGATATGGGAAATTAGAACAAAAATATTAACACTAGCATATATACAGTCTAAACAAATCCCTCATTCACACCCACCTGAAGGCCAAAAGAGAGAGAATTGTACAGTATTAATGATGTGTGGGCAAGTTTTATAGCACTTTTTGTTTAACCAAAGTCTAAAGCAGGAATGAAGAATTGTCCTACAGATGTCGCAATAATTCAATGCACTTATTAAAACTTCACACATTCTTATGGCTTTACTTGCTAAACCCTATAGCAAATAACTTGAAATAACCTTAGTATTGCATTAAATGTAACCATAATCAATAACGTTCTTAACAACCCTAACTTGTTTTTTGTTTGAAGTTAAGCACAGAGCTACACAATGGTTTATCTCTGCTCTGCCCACCACGGGTACTGAAACCCAGTTTTTAGCATTGTAAATCTGCTGTGCCACTGGTGGGGCACCCTAACTTCAAAAAGATTTCGTATATAACAATACATTTTATACTTTTGAACTAAAAGGTGCATAAGGGTAAGGCTGGCAAAGCAAATGCCTTTTGGACTGGAAAGCGCAATCATATAAAACTATCAACTTTCTGTTCATTCTTTTACTGATACTGTAAACAGCTTCAAGAGGAACTACAATTAACAATACTACATTAGATCAATACCCAATTAAAGTTGTGTACCTGTGATTTAAGTTAGGAATGACCACTAAAGTAATTTTGATTAAACAACCCTATACGAAAATGTTATAAATACTCACTTCGACAATGAGATTCCTCCTGGTTTGTTCACTAACTGATCATGGTGAAGAACAGAGTCATTCCAAGGGACTTGCAGAAACTTGAGAATTTGTTCTAACCACGGTTTAGGATGGAGAACCAGCTGTTCGTAGTAGACTGGCAAACAGAAGGTCGATCCGAGCTGCTGACACTGGTTGAACATAGCCTGCATGGCAGTGTTCCACTTTTTCATACACTGTCTGAAGTCAGATAAGTCAAACCCCGATATTGTTACCTGAAATCCAAGATTAAAATCATCCTATACTGCCCATGGTTGGATATCCCTTATCTAAAAAATGATATTGGCTTATTGGAAAAGTTTCAGAGGACTTGAGAAAAGAAAGATAAGAATATCCGGAGAATAAATTGGATTTTAAAATCTCTGTTTCCGCTATATCCTTATGACAATAGGACACAAGATTTGGAAAAGGCAGGCCGAGCTCCATTTAAGACAGTTTTATTTTTCGAATAGGATACTTAGCTGTTTACAGAAATGTGACCGACCTCGTAACCATTTTGTACTTGTTATAGTTTTCGTGCTATAACGTTTAAGTTAGTAGGCATATGTTAACGAAATTTGGCAGATTACCAGTAATCATTAAACAAAATATCAAATGTTTTTATTAAGTCTTAAGGTTTGTTAAGCAATGTTTTTCTCCTGCCTTTTTTTTCTTTCTTTTTGCATGTTGCCTATCCAACATGTAATGTAATTTTCATTTTAAGATTAAAAATACTTTTATGCATCAGAAAATTTCACACGCAAAATCTTTATAATGTCCAGATAAAATGTAAATATAAATTATACCTCTTTCATTCTAGAATGAACATA